TCCTACTATTAATTAATATCCTATTTTAAAAATAAGAATTTAATAATAAAATAAATTTATAATTTTCAATCTAAGGAGGATTCTCTATATTCTACGTATAGGCCTAGAATTAAGATAAATAGAAATATGAATGTATAATTAATAGAAGGGGTTAAAGTTTATGGATAAAATAATTAAGGCAATTTCAATATCGAAAATTAGAAAAATAAGGCTAATTATGAAGAATTGTCTACTAAAAGGTAGACGGGCTCTAGAGGATGAGTTAAATCCACATTCAAAGGGGGATATTTTTTCTTGACTTATGTAAGTTTTTTTGAGATGATAAAATTAATAAAGAATAAAATGATGAAAATTAAAATGAGTATAAAAAGAGTTATGGTAATATATTTTATAATTATTTATATTAATTGTAAGAATTAAATTGTTTAATTGGAAGTTAAATGTAATATATGTATTATACTATATAAATAAAAAATGTTTAGTAATATATACAATACATAATATTTATTGAACTAATAATAAAAAGTATGGATGTTTATTATTTTTAAATTAGGTGGTTAATAGAGATATTATGGTAAAATAAAGTTAAAATTTTAGAATCTTCATCAGTAAATTGAGATAAATAAAAATAATCAGACTACATCAACAAAATATCAATATCATGAAGCTGCTTCGAGACCGAAATAGTGATAAGATAAAAAATATATTTTATTTTAAAGCCGAATTAAGCAGATTAGAAGAAATAAAGTTCCGATAATAACATGAATACCATGGAAGCCAGTAGCAATAAAAAAGATTGAACCATAAATAGAATCAGCTATAGTAAAGGGCGAGTTGATATATTCAAATAATTGAAGAAAGGAAAAATATATTCCTAGTAAGATTGTTAATAATAATTTTTTTTTCTTTCATTTATATTTTTGTTAATTAATGCATGATGGGCTCAAATTACTGTTAGTCCTGATGAGATTAAGATAATAGTATTTATTAGGGGAATATTGAAGGGGTTGAAGGGGATAATTTCTTTAGAGGGTCAAAGTTGGCCAATTTCAATATTAGGTGCTAATGATGAATGAAAATAAACTAAAAAAAAAAGGAATAAAAAAGAAGATTTCTGAGATGATAAATAAAATTATTATTATTTTTAGTCCTTTAACTACATAAATTGAATGGCATCCTTGGTAAGTAGCTTCTCGTGAAATATCACGTCATCATATATATATATATATGTATATATATATA